CTCCACCCGAAAGGCTCAAAACGCCGACGCAAGATACACTACACTCCTTATGCCCGAGACGGAGTAGGAGCAGCAAGGGGAAGGAGGGGTGGGGGGGGGGTCAAATATAGGAATGCCTACCGTGCAGGTCAGCTCTGTTTTACACCCCTGCAATCGGCTCACTTTGTTCAGCATAAAACACTGACATATTAGTATGCAGGTCCCCACAATTCAGTCCATGGATCAGATCGCTTTCAATATGTCACTACGATTTCAGAAGTAGATCACATGGCGCATCTAGAAGTAGGAAAGCCAAGACGTTAAACGAGATCCGCCATCGGTGAATGGATTCTTTACTTTTAGAAGCGCCAAGTTTCAAGAACCAAGTAATAAAACAACGCGTTCCCCAACCAGTTCTCTTCAATAAAAAGATTCGTTGCATTATTGTTATCACAGGGAGCACTCGAACGTGTTCCTTTGAAAAGCAGAACCCCTTTCGCTCCCTCGAAATTTCACAACTAAAACGTCAGCATTGACTCTCTTCGTTTCCGATGTCGCAACAATCGATAGGATGCAGTGGTGGCCCAGACCAAAACTCAATACTCCTAACAAACAATCATTTCCTTAACATACCTATCAAGAAAATGCCAGCTTTCTTCTCGTCCAAATCGGGACTATAAATACATTCATGCACAGCACTCTGAAAATGAGGCGTGAACAGATGCAGAGAGGTTTTCGGAAGGAATAAAAACATCGAATAAGGTTCTTTACATCAGGGCAAAGGAACAAAAACTGAGAAGCCCGGCTAATCATCTAAGAAATAAAAAAAGCTATTCGAAACATATAGAACTGCAAAGTACCTGATCACTCTTAGTGTCAAGGAACGATATAAACTCCTGCATATATTCAGGAGCTTCATCCTTCAGCTCACCAGCCACAAACCTATAAGGAATAGTTGGTCAATCATATGCAGAACGTTTCACAACGGTGACTATGATTTATGAACTGTACAGAATTACAAAGTCGCAGTTCTGTTAAGATAATCGAGTTCTCAGGTATTCTATTGCCTAAGAATGTTTAAGACCTACCCAGAGCAGCGTTTTAAGCGAGCAACATTGAGGAAGTGGCTGGGGAACAGTAGATGGTCAGCTACGACGTATCTAGTCATATTCGATTCAATTATTCTTTTCTCAAGATCAATGTAGTCTTGTTCGCTGCGGATGAAGGGGCGTGTCCGGCGAAATGGGTTTGGCGCGACGCCAAACCCGTCTTTCACCAGTTGTTGAATCGAGCAAGCGACAATACTGAACCATGTGGTTCGTATCCACCAACTGCTGTCACTTACCCGCCTCAACAACTTTTAGGGACTGAGGTGTAGGTTAGGCCAAACCCATCCCGCAGTATGCGCCTCTTCATCCGCAGCGAACCAGACAATATGTACGCTATCCTTTTCGAGGGTACCCCACTTCGATTTAGGCAACCCATCCGCACTATGCGCCTTTACATCCTTCATTCAGATCAATAGACTACGCCTAATCCTTTTCGAGAGTTACACCCACTTCGCAATCACGATTTCTCCAAAGTGGAAAGGTGTGATGAGTAGAAGGACAAGTTCAGAGCGAATTTCACTGTTCAACTCTGCAACCATTTTCAAAGTTTTCAGTATTTAATGATAATACCCACCCCCCCCCCCCTCCCTCACTCGAATACAGTTTTCAAAGAGCAGACATTGCTGGTCTGTGGTGTGTGAATCTTGAAAGCTCCCAAAACAAACTCCTGATGTGCAAAAGTTTTGTCGCTCATGTTGGCAATGTTTGTCGCTTATTTGTCGAGTCCTCCCAAGAAATGAAAGGACTAGATGACCTGGACTCAATACAGGGGCGAATTCGCCTTTGGGAAAAAGTTTTCGGTTCTTCTTGAGCTATACACCCCTCCCCTCGCTCGTGGGGAAAAACTGGGGAAAACTTTGGAAAATAGGAAGTTTCAAATTTTAAGATAATAGTAGGTAGGTGGGATGGGAAGAAGTAGGCTCGTTGTTTTCGCAGAATCCTTTTCGGGGCAGAAAGGTGCCGTGCCTGGATTTCGTCCACCGCCAGCCCGCCAGGCTGCTCATGGAGGTCTTACCTTTGCCTTCAGATCAAAGAAGGCGGCGGCGATTGAAATAAGGAGGAGGAGGCTCCTTTGAGCAGAGAATCAGAGAGTTTAAAACCACGACAAATGTTCTCTCTATTGTAAAGTGTGGGAGATGTTGCGCAGAACGATTTCAGACAGGAATCTATTCTGAGCGCTTCACCTAATTAAGGGGAGGGGGCGGCGAAGAGTATCTCTTCCCAAATCAAGGGCTTAGGCCTGTAGGAAGATTGCGACCTTTGATTCTTATCTCTTGGCAAGTCCGGTCGTCTGTGCTCTCAGACTAAAACTTGGTTCGGGAAAGGGACAGAGATGCGGGGCCAAGTGTACTTTTAGCTACAGGGAAGGCGATTGACCAGCCTTTCTGCCCTAACTCAATGGAATAACATAAGGCTTACTATCAGAATTATAGAAACCTACTTGAACAAGTCTTTAGCGGTTTTCACTCGCTTCTCATCGTTCTTCGTCTTCAAACCGGCCAAGAACGCACCGGCTGCTGCTCGCGCGTTCGCATCGCGCGATTTGTCCCTTTCAGACGCTTCCCATAATCTGATGGCGAACATCTAAACTAAATATATTTCAGCCGGTGTTATTCGTTTCGGAAACAGAGTCTCGATCTAAGTTAGAACTTATTCCCGCGAAAATACAATGCGATTTCAGAATTTCCAACTGATAGCTAACTCTAAATAACAAGTATATCTAAAAATTCATAAACTACGCTACGAGAAAGTGAGAGAAATAATAAAATTAGGGAGTTCCTGAAAAAGACTTATCTTCTAAACTGTTGCAATACATTTCCCGATAAGAAAATTTTATTTCCAACATCACACCAGAAAACGCCAGCTTAATCGCAAGCGGGGCGCGAAGAAGAAAGTTCTGAAAAAGGTACATACACGGACACAGGAAATAAAACTTACGGGGCAATCTTGTTACACGGCTTATTTTTTGTTGGGAGGGTCCAGAGGCAATTATCAGCATCTTTCGCCTGAGCTTTGAAGCGCCGGAGAACAAGGAAAGCGGGAAGTAAGGAAGAGCGATGGATTAGAAGAGAAAGGAGTTGAGGTTTCACGGCGACAAGGGTATCCTGTGGCGGTATCCTGACTACGGGCCGGTCATTCCCAAGAAAGTGTGGGGAATTTTTGCAGAGCAGCCAAAGCCACTTAAAGAACTACGACCAATATCTGATCGGTAATACTTCCCACAGTTTGTATATATGTAACAGCGCACTTACGAGAGCCAGAAATAAATAAACAAGTTTAATTATAACACGCGTGACACCGGTACATTTTTCGACCGCCTCCATGTCAAATTTTCTTGTGGCTACCTCGTCGGCCTGTTCCCCTATCCCGACCCACGTGATGCGCCTCAGCTTCCCTTCTATTTTTTCGCCATCTGCTCTCGCCTTAAACAAGATGGAGTACAACATCTTGGAATCAATTGTAGCAGCATTCTGGAGACGAGTCATACAGTCTTCTAGAGAAGCCAAGCGGGAAATGACCTCATTTTGGCGAGCATCAATCTCGTCAATCTTATCAGGGGCAGACGAAGAAATGCGAGTTTGGGGAAATTGCAGTATGTGGTGCGTGACCTCAGAATACATGAACTAAGGACTCCAAGAGAGCTTCCTCAGCGTTCTCTTTCTTCCTCACAGGAACAAGGGAGTAACTTCTGTGGACCTTCGAAACAATCGCACATGTCGCTGACGACTCCTCCGATAATCTGGATAGACTTTCACATTATAGGGCCACGCCCCCACTTCGGGCATATCGGGACCAGTCCTGCCTCTGAGTGCAATATAAAGGATGAATTTCGCTTCTTTGCGAATGCACGTTTTTTAAATAATGAAGCATGATTCCTGACTACACATTTCGTTCTCCAAAGAACTCCTTCTGGCGTATTCGTGACAGAGAATGGGTTAAGCCAGATAAGATAAATAATCGGGCTGCGTTGTCAGACCGCTGCGTTCCCTACCTGTATTATATCTGTGTTGACAGAAGGGGATATGCCAGGTGGCGGAGTATTAGCTGCTATTCGAGACAATATTCCTTCGTTTCTCATTTCCTCTCTCAATTTCTCCGCTTATCTCCAGTGTGTCACCGTACAAATGTCCCTAATCAGCGGTGACTGTATTCTTGTTCTCTGCTACCGTAGTCCATCATGTAAGGGGGAAGATTTTAAAGAGTTTCTCTCTTATGCTGAAGGCCTCTGCGAAAACCGTATGCCGCTTGTTCTAGTGGGGGATTTCAACTTATTCGATATCTCGTGGTCTCGGCCATCTTACAAACGGGGCACTAAAAGCCTCAGTAAAGATAGCGCTCTCTTCATGAGCTTCGTTGAATCCCATAATTTCAAGCAAGTGGTGCTAGAACCCACACACGATTGTAATATTTTGGATCTTGTCCTTACTAATTGTCCCTCTCTCATAAGTAACACATCAGTTCGAGCCCCTTTCTCAACATCAGACCATGCCACAGTTTCCTTTAATATGTCCACGAATAGTCATCTGTCTGTTCAGAAACGAACCAGGGATTCGCTTAGAGGGGACTAATACACTTATCTGTGAGTCAACTCCTTGCATAGAACTGGGCGTACTATCTTTGAGTCCATGGAAAGTATTGATGATTGCTACTTCAGTTTTGTTGACTTTTGTCATTCTCTTATTTCCCGATTCATTCCACACGCTTACACCAACACGAATGCTCCAAGGCTTCCTCGTTACCTAGAAGATCTTCAGGCGCTCGAGTTCCCGCGACGCTTCAAGGTGGAAACTCCATCCTGCATAATGCGACGTGCCTTTATATTAACTCGCCTTACTCAAAAGAAAAACCAGCGAAAACTTTGAACTGAAAGCATGAGGAGCGCATTGCATGCTCTAGGAATAAGAGAAGGTTCTGGAGTTACTGTAACGCTAGACTTAAAGAATCCGGACTAATCAATACCAATCACTTCACGCGTCAGAGTGCAACATTACCAAACGATAGCGATAAAGCTGAAGTTTTTGCAACCCATTTTGAATCATTCTACAAAAAGGAAAATTCGGAAACAATTTGAGTGGGGATGTACCGGTACACAAAACGGCGATGTCCGTGGATATTAATTGTGAAAATGTTTTTCGGGTCCTCAGCAAGCTTCCGCTTCGATGCTCTACGTCACCAGATGGTTTACCATATATATTTCTCAAAAAAGCTGCAGTAGGTATCACTCCTGCTCTTACACTTCTCTTCAACAGAATACTCCTGAAAGGGACAGTACCAGAAATCTGGGTTTGGGTCTTGTGTTAGGCAATATTCCCAAAAAGGGTGGGGAAGTAAAAATGATTTCAAAAACTACAGCCCGTATGTCTAACCTCTTCAGTCAGCAAGGTAATGGAACGGATTGTGTGTGAGCAAATTAGGAAATTTCTTCTGTGTAAAAATCTTTTGTCGCCATGCCAGCATGGTTTCCTCCCCAAAAGGTCTACGGCCTCTGCGCTGCTCTCTAGTGTCCCTATGCTTGGGCCAGGCACGCCATTGACAGAAAAAATTCGTATATCTCGCTGCTCATACATAGGTATTCTGCAAAGCCTTCCGATTCCATCCTTTATGGTCATTGTTTTACCAAATAAAAGCTTTGGACTTACCAGGGATGTCTTTGTCAAAATTTTTGAAGGCGTTGTCTCTCTGTAGCAGCAAAGGGTCCTGATCAATGGCAACGTTGCTCGTTAGGAATCCGAACGGACAGTGGTGTCCCTCAAGGATCTTGTTTAGGTCCATTGATGTTTATTATGTACATTAATGACTTGCCAGGTTGTATTCCATCCGGTGTGCTGTGTTCCATGTATGCGGACGATGTCAAGGTGTACTGCACAGGGAAACCTGTCCTAATGCAAGCTGCCATTGATGGCATAGCTGATTGGGCTAAAAAATGGGGACTTGCAGTTTCATCCGGAGAAAACGGTTGCCCTCCGACTGGGTCCCAACTGCCCCTCGTCTCCCAAATTTTTCCTATTGAGGGTGTTGAGCTAAAGGAACCGGATACACTTAAGGACTTGGGCATATTGTATTCCAAGTTTTTATCTTTCAATGAGTATATTACCAGAGCAGTGGCATGAGGGCGCAATGCGAAGGCGAATATAGTATACTTAAGGATTCTCTTCGCGACAAACACTGAAAACTTTGTGTCCCAGCTTTTTGCTGCATATGTGCGCCCCACCCTTGAATATTGTCCCATGTTATGGAGTCCCCATACTCGCCATATGGTTGAACTTATTGAGAGTGTTCAGTCTAAATTTACTGAGAGAATTTTCGCCCGTGGAGCAGTGTTTCACATTTCGTAAAAGACAGCCTAAAATATCGCTGGAAAGAAGGACTCTCTCGAGATGAGAGGAACCGTATACGAGCCACGGACATGCGTGTTACAAGCTCAGTGTTGGCTCTGTAGATTTAGATTTCGATCTCTTGTTTACAAAATCTTCAACAATTGGACGTACTAGGGGTCACAACTTTAGGATAATGAGAGAGAAAACAAGATCAACTGAGTTTCGAAATTCTTTTACCCAAAGAGTTATTACTTTCTGGAACGATTTACCGGTCGATGTTGTTAACTCGAGCTCCTCTAAGGCCTTCAGGAATAAAGTCAGGCGAATTATGATATCTCAGGGTTGGTTTTGAGAACAGAAATTAAACCATACTAACTTGAACAGATCGAGAAGCGATTTTGTAGTGGAAATGAATGATTCAAAGTATTTTATATACTGATGTGAATGATGTTTTTCAGCTCATAATTCATGGTTTTTATTATTTTTGATTGTTTGATGTACAATCTGAAGTACCGCTATGTTTTCTCTGCCTACTCCCTGTTTACCCTGTCTGCGCTGCAAGTGGAGTTGGATCTCAGCTAAGTCAGCAAAGTTGGCGGACCTACTAAGTTGGTATCCGGAGTTCCTACATGAGCATCTATGGACTTGCAGTGTTGGCGGCCCACTGCCCTTCTGCGCTGACTACCTCTCCACTCATTGCTTAGCAGCTATATC